CAAAAAGGTTGGCAAAAAATGTTTACCATTTTTCTTATTTATAAGATGTTTACAAAGATGATAACAACTATGTAAATATGCTAGGCAAGAGCATACCCAGTTATTTACATCGATATGGTATTTTTCATCTATATTAGGCTGAATATCTGCTGTTGCTGCTTTACACCATTCTGCTTTGAACTCATGCCACCATGCTGGAAAAGTTCTATTTCCGTTATACTGAGTTAGCTTAATTTCAAAATCGGGAATAAGCTGCTTAGTTATTATTTGAGTAAGTTTATCTATGCGTGGCCGGTTATAGTTATATTTATAGTTATATTTAAAAACTCTCTAATGACTTTCAGTAATCATTGTAGTATGTGCAAATAGTATGGCTGGTGAATACGAAGATAAAGCAAACAGTTTCCAGTCCTTTTCATTATACCAGTTTGTCCATAAATAACCCCATAACCTAACAAGGTTATGCAAATGACAAAACTGATATATTTCTTGGACACAAAAACGATATATTTCTGCTAAAGTTATATAAGAGTTTTTTCCAACAGGGATAAGAGGATGCATTGATGAATGTTTTTTGATTATATTTAAAATTTCTTTAACATACTCATCTGAGCAGAAGGATCCGATACCACCTTGAATCCACGATGGATTGATAAAATCAAATTTTCGATATGCTTCTAATGCCTTAGTTCCAGAGTATGTACTTGTTTTTGATTTTTTTTCTTTTAATTTTCGGTCAATTGCATGTAAAATATGCCAGCGACAAATTTGAATACTGGCTGTCCATGACCAAGCCTCACTAACAGAAGAGATTTCTCCTGCATCCTTATTTGTAAGCACAAATATTGGCAGCAAGCCCTCTTGGCGAAGACTAATGAAAAACATACGTAGTACTTTGACATGACTTTTTGCAAAATTTGCAGGATTATTTCTAGCTTCTTCGGTACCATCTGAAGTAGACAGATACATGTATGCTATTGGCATACCATACCCACCACAGTTTAGATTTACAACAAATAGCTCAAACCTTTCCTTATTTGTTTTAAAGGTTGAGTCTATAACAATTTCTGTTGCATTTTTTATATCAACATGTTTAAA